ATAAATTAAATTTTTTTAGAAATTATAAATTTTAAATTATAATATTGATTATTATAAATTAAAATTAGAATCTTAATGAATGTAAATTGGAATTTCATCTTGGTTAATTATTATATTTGACAAAAAAATTTGAACTTCATAAGCAAAATGTTGAAAAAAATAAAATATATATACTATATTTAACATTTATCAAAAGTTTAAGGGGCAGCTTGTCAACAACTAGAAAGAATTCTATTAGCCAGTTAATGGAATGTTTGTCAAGTAGACCATTTTGAAACAAAATTGAGAGTTTATAGATCATTTTGAAAGAAAAAATTGTTTCTAAATTAAACTGAAATAAATCACATAGTTAATAGACTATTTATTGAATTTAGCCCTATTTTTTTATTTCTTTTGGTTGAAATTTTAAAATTTTAATTTTCCCTCAATTTCTTTCTACTAAATTGTAGGTTCCAGATGCTAATAATTGTTGTACCTATGATTTTGATGATTACAAAACACATTTGAGTGACTAATTGGTTCATTTAAGTGTGTAGTTAAAATGTCAAAAGATTGCAAAGTAAGTGAACTTGGACTGCACTAAAAATGGATCAAAAGGCTTGAAAATATGTAGGGAGTCGGCTATTGAAACTTGCAGCTAGCTATGAAAGTGCAGAGAGCCGGCTCTGGAAGCTACAGCTGGCTCTACGAGTAAAGATTTTAAGGTCTGTTGTTTGGTGCATACAAAGCAAAGACACAAAGTCGGCTCCAACTTTGCAGCCGGCTGTAAGGGTGCATTTAATGTGTTGACTCAATGTACTCTAAGAGGGGGGTGAATTGGAGTTCCAAAAATTCTCCCCTTTTGCAACCACAACACCAAAATTAAAGAGAGTAGAGAAGAACAGCTTGCTCAATGATTTTATAGAGGTTCGGTCCAACCACTTGGAACCTAATCCTCTACCTTGGCTTCACTCACCACGGATTTCCTCCACACTCTACACTAACAAAATCAAGGGTGGCTTAAAAAAGCCACTCAATCCTTTTACAAGAAGATGAGTATTTCTCTCAAACCTCACCCTTTTACAAGATAAACCCCAAGAATCCTCTCTATAGATCACTCTTGAAGGATTAATCACACCCCCAAGATTACTCACAAATAGAACAAGAAGAGGATTACAAGTAAAGATCTCTCAAATATCAAAAACTCAAGTTAAAG